TGGCGGCAGTGTTAATTCGTGATATAATGTGAAATTTGTTAATAGGACATGATAGCGCGATTGACATGTATACATCTACAATGCAATTCAATCATGGGAATAAGATCAGAATATGATATTTCTTAACGACTATGACCTTATTCTGATTAAGATCATCATAAAATGCTGTATGCAGTGTCATATTTAGAGCATTATCTTAATCAGGTTAATATCAGAATATTGCTGTCTATGTAAATGTAGAGAGTTTTCTTGATAAATTTGGTTGTAGCGTGTGGAAAAAACAGACAGCTACACGCTCATTTTAGCTGTACTGACGAGTGTGTGTATTGAGTGCGTGTATGTTTCTATTCAGCCTACATGTGCGCTTCTGGTGGGGACTCATGTTTGTTAATTTCACTGACCCATTGCTGCAGACAGCTGCATGCACTGGCATAAGTGTAGGCAGTGCAGCCAGTGCAATCACACTGGGGCCCAGAGAGTTACACCGGGATTAAACAAGATGCATGTCTGTACCGCCTCCACCCTGCTGCGTGTTTCCTGCATGCATTGCTGTCCGTCAACACCCACCGACTGCGTACCAGCGCCGGACGGCTAGAGAAGCCAGACCAATGAACGAGCCTGACGAGATCACGCGGTAATTACAGAATCATGCGCGATCGCCCGAGATAAATGATACATGTTGTAATCAGTGCAAATACAAACAGACAACAGCCTTTGTTCTTTACTGAAAGGGTTGAGGAATGGTTAACTTGCTTCGATTTGTTTATGTTTTGAGATTTTGTGCTTCTACCATGGATAAGTAGCCTATTTATTAATAAATGTTCTTAATTTCCTGTTTGTGTTTGGTCTGTCATTTGTTTGGAAAGTGTTCTGTCAATAAAGTTTAGCCTACATATTTTCTTACTTCAGTTGCTGTCCTAGCCTACAATACCAACTGGCGCCAACATGGATTTTTGAAAATTAACCGTATGTTTTAAATGTTATGTCTGAGTACTGATCTATCTGCTGTGCTGAAGTGCTGCGTTTCTGCTGCGGCATCCAGCAAAAATAGGAGTCCTGCGTATCTGCTGAGCTGAGCTCTGGTTTGCAGGAGCTGGGACATATGATAAATGCAACGCAGTGGATCCAGTGTAAGCACACACATTGACAAAAGTGAATTCTATCGTCTGTGCAGCGGTAGCGCAGCGCAGATGGACCCAAAAAGTATCTGGTGTAATTTGGGGGTTTGGGGGCCCATTATGGATGGAAGGGGACCCTTCAAAATTACATGGTATCAATAATAAGGATTTCTAATGCTTTAAGTGCCAACCAGATGGCCATTTAGGCATTCATGTAACTACCCTCTAAGTTCATCTGAATGTGCCATTCCTTATTTAAACTCTCATTTAGCCTAACTTATCTCTATCATTAGTTTTTTTTCTGTAAATTTTTGCATATTATAACAAAGTTACATGCTTATTTTTCACACATTTGAAAAAATATGAATGAAATTAACAATTTTTTTTTATTTCCTTTGATATTTTTCTTACATACGACAGATAGGCAAATGTGTCAAGGTGATTGCTGGGTAATTTGTTGTCCAATGTCAAGTCTCTATTTCATTTGATCGTGTAACCAGCCGTTAACCTGTAACATCTGATAGTGCAAGCGCAAAATCTGAAGATCAGACTCACTATCAAATCTGCAAACTCAGGAGCAGTCACGCCATTTAAACATAAAAGCGGGAGTTAGAAAAGAAAAGAAAGAACAGGAGGAGAAGGTAGCAAGGCAACCAAAACTAAGTCAATTTTGCTTTCTTATATGCAGTTACCAGCCCACGGACGACCCCCCCTCCTTAAGCAGCCAGCAGGTAACAGATCAAACTAGATATAGGCCAAGATAACGTTTGACCTAAATAATGATAACGTTCAGCAAGACAATATTGTTGAGTTGAATAGTACAGATATTGTCAAGAATTTTGCGCAAGGCAAAGCTTGCCAAATGCTGTTCAAATAGGTGAGTAGGCCTGCCAGTGACTTCTCTTTTAGTCCAGAGTCGATTTATATAAGGGCCAAAGTCAGCATGCGACACTGTTTCACTTTACTACATTTTAGCTCATAACTCTCTCACAAATAATGATATCAGCATATATAATATGTCATTAGTTAGGTCTTTAAGTACTTATGAGGTTTTTTATTTATGGGGGGCAAAAGGGGGTCAAGGGGAAAAAAATGCTGTGTGACACTGTTACAGAATTAGGACACAGGTTTTCACATGAATATTTCAACTAAGCAGAAAGTGCTGTTCATATTAAAATTTTTATTAAATTTTTTTATATGTTTGGAAATATTTTAAACGATAAAAAAAGGTTTGGTGACAAAATTTTGAAAATAAATTTTTCATGGGGGTTTAAGTGAGAGAAGGTTGCATGACACTGTTACCGCGACACTGTTACACAATTTTTCACCACTAATTTCTATTGAAATCTGAATGAAAAAACAATCAAAATTATCATCTTATCTTTATTGATTAATTATATTACATTCATATAACAAATATTACAAATATTACACATATTACATATAAACATATTTACAATATTACATTTCAACATATTTACAACAGGAATAAGTTCCATAGAAGGATTTGTACCTTAATTTCAATGACACAAATGTTTTAAGTAACTCAGCTATTGTTTAGCATCATAATGTCATTCATATTTCTGGAATATATGTTGTTAGCACTGTAGTGTCACTGACTTGTGCGTCATCAGGGATGATGAAGTATTCCTTGGCTGATGGAGCACTGCTATAAGGCTGAGCACTGACGTGGCCAAGTTCGAGGGTGGTGATGCAGTGCATACTTTGGATACTAGTGATGGAGAGGGCACCTTGCCAGAGGTCGTCCAGCTTCTTTTTCCAGTCCAGAACAGTTTATTTTCTGACATAGAGGACAGTGGTACTATCTAGTTGGCTGGCTGCTAGCTGGGCGTACTCGAGGGCATTGTTGACAATGGCTTTTCGGGACCACATCAGGGTGAAGACCAGCCTCTTGATGACTGCGCCAATGCCGTCTACAGCTCCCTTGCCATGGGATGTAGCCAGGAAATTCCACCTTACCAGGATCCCCTTCCTCTCCAGCAGGCTTGTGATGTACATCACCAGGAACTTGTTCTTGAAGTGTTGTGTGGCCCAGTCGCTGATGATGTCCAGTTTGGTGATGCCAGCTGGAAGCTTGGAGAGTAGTACATTCACCACGTAGTCGAAGAAGGTAGCGGCAGCATTATCATGGGCCAGGTAGTCTGACACCACACCAAAGGAGAAGGTACCGGATGCTGTCCAACCAACTGCAGTGAAGAGTGCTGTCTGGGTGTGTGACCAGTGGGCACTCTGGACTTCGTCTTAGTGGATGGACGGGTTCTCTGAGAAGTCAATCTGGAGCACTGCCTGTTTGGGTCAAGGGTTGGAGTACAGGTCCTTGAAGGTTCTGGCCTGCTGGTCCTTCACGAAGCAGTGGATCTTGAAGCTGGGGAGTCTGGTGGAGAGGTTCTTGAGTACATCAGACATGGTACCATCACAGGTCAGCTTGCAAACTCTGCCGTCGTCGCCCTTGGCCCACTCATACCAGGATACTGGATCACCAAGCTGAAGGTCACTGATCTGCGCTGATAGCTTGTTGAAGGTTACTCTGTCTGAACAGGTTGTACACTTGCCAGACATACAAGCCTCAGAAGACTCGTCACAGACAATAGTCTCTATGAGTTCATGGTGGTCAGCTGGCAGGCACTTGAGGTGGTGGATGGACTGGAGCAGCAGGTTCAGGTTCTCATAGTAGACACACGTTGTGGGGGATGTTGCCTCTGAAGAGGACTACAACTGGCCGCAGGTGCTGGAAGGAAGTCAGGCTGATGGTGTCATCAGGGAACTCCTGCTTGTAGAGGTTGTAGGCTTCCCAGAAGGTCATCACTAGGTAGCGCCGCTGCTCTGTCACCTTCTCACCATCCCGGATCAAAGTGATGTAGTCCTTGCGACCAGGGGCAGTCCACCTGATGTCTTGATGAAGGTAGAAGTCTGTGACTCTGGAACGGACCTCATCTGTTAGTCTGTTATGTGTTGATTTAGGTGGAGTAGGCGGCACAGGGTCACTGACAGGCACTGGATTCTGCTTGACAATCTCCTTGATGACTTCTTGGCGTTTTCTTGGAGACTTTGGAAAATGACTGGAGATTCTACGGATTGCACAGGTCTGACTGGAAGTGTTGCTGTAGACAGGAGTACCTAGGCGACGCTGCTCAGCAAGCTGTGCTTCCTTCTTGGCTGCTCTGTGTTTGGCTACACGTTCTCTGGTCTTGGCACGGACAGCTTCAGGATCTCTCGCTTTGGCTGCTCTGTTACGGTCTGAGACAACAGCTTTCCAGGAATCAGGGTTTTCAGCCTTCTTGCTTTCTCTGTGATGCCTGGTCCCCTCAGCTGCACTGAGAACCATTCTGGAACTTGGAGATGACTTGTAGACAGTAGAAATATTAAGCAATGTTGTTGTAGTACTTGTATTGAGAGCAAGTGGAATGTGACAACTGGTAGTCCAGGAGGGGTATTTAAGGGCCCCTGAGAGAATCACCCAGCCAATCATCTTCTCTCAAATGAATCAGGCCTTCCCAGTTGACCCAATTTCCAAAAAAATCATAGCTATCTACTGTATATTAATTGCTTTTTCAGCCCTTTTTTGCCTGTGTCCCAACTTCTTTGAGACCTGTTGCAGCCAGAAAACTTGATATAAGCTCATTTTGTGGATAAAAATGTAAAATGTCTCAGTTTCAACATTTGCAATGTTATCTATGTTCTATTATAAATAACTAATTAGCTCATGTGATCTGAAAGCCATTGCATCTCTCTCTCATCTTTATGTTACGTGCACTATTCTTTTTTTTTAATTTTTTGGGATTTTCTCTTTTTATTAGACAGTTGGATAGTAGAGAGAGACAGGAAAGCTGGGGAGAAAAATGGGGGACGATATGCGGCAAATAACCCGAGCAGGAATCGAACCTGGGTCGCCGCGGGAAGGACGCAGCCTTTATGGTGCGCGCACTTAAACCGATATGCCACCGGGGCGCCCTACATGCACTATCCTTAATGAAATATCCCGTGTAAACAAATGGGTCTCCTGCGCTGGTCGATTTCCAATTTAAAAAAAAAAAAAAAACATTTTCGCGCCTGAAGTTGAATAAGTAGCTGAGTTTACATGGAGCCTAATATTTCGATTAGAATCGGTTTTGAAGCCCAAACCGAATAAAAATGCTCCATTTAAACACCTCATTCAAAATAAACAGGCCGAAACCGAATGGAATTTCATTCTGTTGTAGAGGGGTAGAATATTCCTTTTCCCAAACCGATTAAAAGTAAAATTTTATCATGTAAACGGTGAAACGGCAAGTTGTCTGGCTGCGTTCTGTCTGGGCATGCTCCATCTTGAAGTGAATGCGACGTTTCTTCACTTGCAAATAGGGTGGCTTTCAAGCGCAGAACACAGAACTGGTCAACGCGGAGTGGTTGTTTTTAATAAAAACTCTCGAAGAATGGAAAATTATTGGACACTTAGACGGTAGGAAAAACAATAGTGAACGGTTTAAACAAAAGTTCACGAAAAACTCAACGAAGCCGGGATAGACCGCAACGTCAAACAAATCAGAACTGCTGGAAAACTCTGAAGACCGGTGTTCTGACAATTTGTGCTACCTTGTCAAAAAATGCTATCTTAATGCAGGGTGATCGTAAAGTCTTTGTTTTTGCCTTAATATTACAATATAAATCAACCTACAGTGGCAACTTTGTTATTTGCTTGCTCATTATAACTTACGCAGATGCTAAAATGACTTGTATAAGTTTTTTTCTTTTATTTAAAGATAACATGCTGCACACCACTATCGTCTAATTTCTGCATTTTCAGGAAAAGCCAGCATGTACATGCAATTATTTGCCAATAAATCTAAAAAGTGCTCTGAAAAAAAAAAAACAATCGATTTCTAAGATATTTGATATTTAAGATGTGAGGCAAGAAATACAGCCCAAGATTGTGGGTTTGTGCATGCGCAGAACAGCGAGGTATTATATCTTGATAGGTGGCAGAAATTGACCATACACCTACTATAAGCATAAAAAGCCCAGCAACGAAAGGGGATGCTTTTTTTCATCAATCTGCACGTCACACAGTTGTAAAGCGTCTGTTCTGATTAAATGCAACGGCCCATATAAACTCCAGATCGGAATAGATCACGTCACATGTAAACAGTTGACCTGAAATCTTCAATCAGAATGATTTCAATAAGAATGAAAAAAACTCTGCATATAAATGAGGCTACCGTCTCGTGACTGTTTTCACTAAGTAAAATAAACCAAACTCCGTTGACAAAACGCAGCTTTTTCGGAGCTTTTCGGTTTGTGTGCAGTGCACGATGGGACGTGTAACTGGGTTAGTGACCATCGGATGTTCACTACATTTCGCGGTGGATTGTGGGTTGTAATGAGTTCACGCACTCAAAAAAATGAAACCCCATGAAATGTTAGATTTACTTAATAATGTTATGTCAACAGGTTCCACACAATTGCTTTGCGTAACCTTTATTTGACTTCTAACATTTTTTGGCCAGTTTAATTAATTGCATTGAGTGGAATGTACTTAACTCAGTTTTGTGGAGAAAGTTGAAATAACATTATTAAGTAAATCTAACATTTCAAGGGGTTTCATTTTTTTGAGTGGGGATAATAACTCTTACAAACAATTCGGACAGCCCTACAAAATGGCGAACCCACTATATAGTGCATAATATAGCGAGTAGTGAGTGATTTCGGACACAGCCTTAGTCAAAGAAATCCTTGCTCGCGCACATCTCAAACTCCTGCTTCTCACACAAAAAATGTTCATCCTGTCACAAATGTAACCACTTCATTCAAGGCACGAGACTTTGCTGAGTGTGTGCATGTCTTCATTATTTCTCTGAGTGATATAATGTTGGAATTACAGCAGTCTAAAAACTTGTCTGTTTGCTGTTCTCCCAAAAATTTTTGGGTGATTTTTTAATAGAAAAGATAGAGAAATTCAACGTACTTCATGTCCTTTGGCTGTTCCCTGAGCCAAAACTATGTACTTCGGTGCTACAAAAACTATACTGCTGTGGCAACAACAAATTTTACTACATTTTTGTGAAATTTCATGAAGAGGGATTCAAATTCGTGGAAGTTATAGCGATATGAAAAGTATTTTTTTCAGCCTCTGTGCTCCCAGCTCCCACTCTAGGTGTGACATCACGCACTCTAGCAATAAGAACCCAACTCCCATTCTTTCCAATGGGAAAATTTTTGTTGGTTTTTTGGGAATATTCCGGACACTGCTCGACGAAACTCAACCAAAATCGATAGGCTTCATCCTCTAACCACTATCAACGTGCATGTGAAATATCAAAAGGATTGGAGAAGAACTGCAGTCTGTAGAGCGTTCACAAGAAAATCTCTACGGACGCGGACGCAGATGCGGATGCGCGACGATCGCAAATCTGTAGTACAATTAAAGAATAATATTCTGCTTTAGTTATTTTAATTACTCACAATGTAACTGCACCAAACTCAATGACGCCAAAAACGCGACACTGTTACGACTTTTCAAAAACTCATAATTTTTTTTTAAATTTTCAAAAGTAATCATCCAACATTTTTCCTTATAGTATAAAGCCTTTTTTCTAAGAATATGGATTTTTTTTCTCAAATATAAATATTGAAAATTGAAAAAAATATATATTTTGCCCGACACTGTTACATGTACATCTTTTGGCAACCCTTTACCTTTAAGTGACCTAAAATTGTAGGGTTTAGGCTATATATATAAAGTAGAAGAAAATCAATAGAAATGACTCTGAGATTATTATATCATGGTGCTGGTGTATAAAAATTAATTGATCTCAAAATCCTACATTTGAGCCGTCCTGTAAAATCACAAAGCATTAACTTTGACCCCCCATAAAATCTGAAATAATTAAGATATTCAAATATTTTTTTTTTTTGTTTCAGGAGCTTCAAGATGTGTACTTTAAGAAAAAATAAACATATTTGCATTTATTTCATCTTAATTTTTTTACCCCTAATGTGCAGTTTGGCTGACTTTGGCCCATAAGTAGGATATATAGCAGAAATAAGGCTGTTTGTGCGCAGTAAATTGATCATTTTATGGGGTTTATGCAGACGGTCTTTAGCCGGGCAATTTAGGGGACATGATGGCATTGTTTTAAATATATTTAAATATCTTGATCTTGCCATGTGCTTTTTCAAGTTACTATCATGTCCTGCCTTTATTTCAAATAGGAATGCACTAGTGAGGTAATTGCTAATTGTTAAATCGTCAATTCACCACCACAGCGAAACAGACAGTTCCTCTTTCTCACTGTCTCTCTCTCTCTCCTCCTATTATTGCATGTTTAGGAAAGCGACCTTGAACAAATTACTCAATATACTGTAAAAATTATTCAAAGCAGGGCTTCATAGTAAGCATTAGGGCCCATCATAATCGCTTGCACTGGGGCAGGTCGTGACGAACTCACGCCACTGGCTGCATGACAAGGAAAACGGATGAGTGGAATGCATTTTTGTCATTATTATCATGTCTCCCCCCCGGAGGGAGAGGGGAGACATATTGTTTTAGGCTCTGTTCACGTTCATGTTCGCACAAAACCATGAGAAAGTAAATAACTTGTATTGTACCAACAAAGAAAGAGGCATTTCCGTTTGCTCAAATGATAACATTATTCACATCAAGAGAAAAAATGAACAGGTGAAGGGAAAAAAAACACATTTTTCCACAGAAAATAAATAACCCAAATTGTGGCCCCAGCCTAGACACCTGCAAGAAAAATAAATATGTATATCCAGCCACTCAATAAAAAAAAAAAAAAAGTTGATTAATTTCTAAAGGAAAAGATTGGGCCGCAGCAGTACAGATTATAACAACCACATGCGCTTGCCAGACGCAAGTCGCGGTCAGCTAAATAAAGCAATGCCTGACAGCCTTCTCGTCATTAAACAAACTTCAATTATATATCAAAATTAAGAGAAAAAATTAAGGAAACAAAATCGTAAAAATAAACGCTAGAGGGGAAATATGAGAGGAAGAAACAATGTTCAAAGTAACTCGGGGCAGGAGTAAGTGGAGTAAATGAGAGTGATTTAAAAAAAAGAAAGTTTTCATTCGGCGATAGGCTATCAGTTTTTGTGGTGGGATGAGTTACAGGGAGTGCACAGGGAGGTTAGAGGATTTTTCAGTATAAAAAAAGTTCTTTCCCAAACCCTGCTTGGGATGGTTCACAAGTATTCACTGATGCATCCCCTAATCAACGGGGATATTCCCCTGATGATGTTTCGAATTCGGGGAAGCTCTGGGGCACCTTCGCCGATATCGGCGAAGGTACCCCGCTGCCTTCCTGAGCATTGGGGGCCATCCCCGATGTTTCACGGGCATTGTTCGGGGGACATTCCCAGAAGCTTTGTAACCATAGCCAAAGCATCACTGAACGTTCACCGGACCATCCCCGATGCCTAGTAAATGCAATTTCTGATGGGACTACTCCGTTTTTTTGGCAAAAACATCGGGAGCATCGGGAGGAAATTTGTCTATTTCCACATTGCCGATGATTTTTCCCCAGTGGGACCTAGGCATTACCGGCAAGTAATCTTATAGTGATGATACAAGTTATGACAATTTCATGTGAAGTTTGACATTAAAATTATTAAAAGTCAATGCCAAGGTCACCAATTAAAAGTTCACAACATTTATAAGACCTAACGAGGCAACATTGTCACCAATATCCGCCGCCACGGTAAGAATGGTCACGGGAGATTCCATATTCCCATTGCAACACCCATACACCAAGTTCAGAGTCAAAGGCCATAACTCGGTAAAAATAAATGTCTCAGAATCAACTGTCGAAGCCATTCAATAAGGTCATTAGCACTGGCCACACACAAAATTTCACCCATGAAGGTGCAAGAGTTTCCGAGAAAACTTGTCCCCGTTGACCCGGACGGATGGAATGACGGACAGACGGACGGACAGACGAGCTCCATTCCAA